TTCGATGTCGGTCCAGTTTACAATGTGGCAGCAGCCATCTTTGACCCGTGCCATCGCTTCGTCGCGGCATGCTGCTGCGGCATCGGGGGAGCGAGCACTTGGGTGTGCGCCGCGGTGTATGGCCGCCCGGATTTCTGTAGTGCTCCAGTTGGGGCCGCAGTTGACGGGGCAGCCGTTGGTCGCCCAATTTCGAAGGAGTGACGCTGCCGGGTGTTCGCGGACGTGTCGTCGCGGGTACATGAGGCCTACGAACGGGAGGGACTTACCTTGGTGTGGTGTTAGGTCGTGGTGGGGGGTGGGGGGGGTGGGCCGGTGTTGTTGTGGGGAATGTGTTCGTGGGCGTTGGGGTCGTGGTGCGGTTGTGGGAGGGGAGTGTGTCTTGGGGAGGTGGGTGGTGGGGGCGTGCGGATGGTGTTGTCTGGGCGTGTGCTTGTTGGTGACTGGGGGGGGGGTGCAGTATGGTGAGGGCGGCTGGGTTGTCAGGGGGGGGTGACCGATGGTGACTTACCGCCTGGTGGCTTGGCGGCGCTGGGCGCTGCTGCTGCAAAGGTGGCTTTGAGCATTGTGGCGTGGTCTGCTGAAGTAGGTTTTGCGTCGTGGGTGCGGCGGCATCGCGGGGAGTCGCAGTAGCCGAAGAAATGGAAACGGATGCAGTCGGTTGGGTCGATGCCCAGGCGGGTGGCAAATGCTGCGTCGTCCGCGCACTGTGTGGCCGCTCGGGCTGACGCTATCGTGGGGAACCGTTGATTCTGCTTCTTGTGGGTGGCGATGAGTTTTCTGCACGCAGTGGGGAGGTCCTTCGTGTGTGGGGTGTTCGGGCGCTGGTCTGTGCGCTCTTCTGCGCGTCTGTCAGAGCGGGAACGTTTTGTTTGGGAGTCGGGGTGGTGGATCGGTTTGCTCCGCTTTGTTAGTGGCGGGCAGAACATTGCTGGTTTGTTGCTGGCTTTGTGGAAGATGCCACTGGYGATGGAGTCCCTGAGTGTGGTGAGGTTTGGGGTGGGTGTGTTGTTGGTATKGAGGTCGTGTTCTGTCGTTTTGTGAGAAAAGAAGGTCTTGGTCGTGAGGGTTAGCTGCCATAAGATTTCGGCCGCGATGTCCCATTGAAAATTGTAGATTTCGCTTAGGGAGGCATTGTTAGCCTGTAGGACGTTGTGGATTTTTTCGAGTTCCTTCGCGAGTGGGCARTGCTGGGTGAAAAGGGTTTGGAGGACTTTGATTTGGTTGTCGACCACGTCAATGACTTCGTAGATGTTACGGGGGACGATTGGYGTGTTCAGTTTGGCGCGGAGGACGTCGGTGGTGCTGATCGTYGTGGCTTCCGTGTTGAGGTGGCGTTGGTGTTCCGCGGCTGAGATTTCTCGTGTGGTACGCGCTACGTATGCCATGGGGCCGAGGCCTGTACGTCCTTGCATGTTGGGGTCGGGGGCGAAGCRGAATTTTGCGACGTTGGTTGTCCAGTCATGGAGGAGGCGTCCTTGGAGTTTTGGGAAAGTAAGTTTTAGTGGGTCTGTGAAGTAGTGTTCAACTTTGTCTTCGCGTTTTTTGTCTGCTTTGAGAATATGCACCCATGCCTGGTTGGTGAGCGCGTGGAAAGTTTCYAGTTGGGAGAGGGGGAGGCCGGACCATCCTATGATGTGGAGGAGTTGGGTGTTGGGTGGTGTTTGTGGGGTTGGGGTGGTCGGCTTCGGTGCGTTGATGATAGAGGTGTAGAGGGTCATCTGGTTGAGTTCTGCTGGGGTTGGCGTGCCGGTGATGGTTGTGAGGAGGTGTTGGAGTCGTGTGTGTGCCATGGTGTGGATATCTTCGGCCATGGTGTGGATGCTATGGTTAGGGGTGACGGTGGAAGGTCTTGCTGGGGGGGGTGTGTGGAAAGGGTGGGGTGCCCGTGGGTCTTGTTGGGAAGGGTCCGGGGAGGTAAGGAGGTTGATGGTGTTCCTGTTGGTTTGGGGTGTTTCGTGTTCAGGTGTGGGGTGGGCGTGATTGGTGGATCCGTTGTTGTCGCGTTGTGTGGGTTGTGCGTTGTGTGGTGTGGCCGGTGCTGGGGTTTCTGGGGTGAGGACGTTGTTCGCGATGAGCAGGTCAGTGATTGTTGATGCGTCGTGTTGCCAGAGGTCCTCAAGATCGGTGATGATTTGTGCTGAGAGTGGTGCGGACAATGGGAGGGTTGTATCGGTGCTGGGGAGGAGGAGGTTGCTGGTGGTGGGGTCCTCGTGTTTGCGAGTGGAAGCTGCGAGGAGCCACTTGGCTGTTGGGGAGGTTTTGGTGATGACCTTTTCCTGGATGAGTGTGGTGCGGAGTTTGTTGGGGTGGGTCGGATGCTGGTCCGCGCAATAAAGATCGAGTAGGGATGGGGGAAGTTCCTGGAGGAGTCGTGCATTTTTTGCTTTTGCCGTTGCGTGTGGTTTGAGGAACGGGATGGGGTTCTTGGTGAGGGCCTGTTGGGTTCCGTTCGGGCCAGTTGTTTGGGGGCATCTGCGGTCCGCTTGTTCCAGCGCCTGTTGGCGTTGGATCGTGAGGAGTTGGTGTTTGCTTTGGTGTAGGTTGATTACGTACAGTTTGTTGTGGCTATGGCCAAGGGCGAAGACTGGGGAGACTCCATGGTCGTCGAGGATGGCTTGGTAGAGGTGGCCTGGGGTCCATGGGGTTTGGGTGTCAGGTGGTGGGTGGGGTTTGTCTTTGAGGACGGCGACGATGGCGTCGCGGATGGCGGGGGCGAGGGCGAGGGCTGGCATGGTGGTGGGTGAGGGTGTGGGAGTTTTTGGTTTTACAAAATTTGATTTGTGAGCATGTGGTTGATTGTTGTTGTAGTATTTTATTGCTGTTTGTTTGGTGTTGGTGTGGTGCTGAGGTKATGTGGTGTGGCATTGGGTTCGGGGTCGTTTTTGTGGTGTCGTTGCCTAATTTGTCGCTTGTTGGGGGGTTGTCGGTGGGCGCTTCTTAATTTAGTTAGGTGTTGGTCCTGTTGTTGTTTATTTTTGGTGTTCTTTGTGGTTTTCTTTCGTGTTCACTCTTGGGGGTTGGTGTCATAGTGTGGTGTCAAGTTGGTGGTTGTGTGATGAGGATGTGTGGTTGCGGGGGTGTTTGGTTTGTCCGCGGAGTGGTTTGGCGAATTTTGCATTCTATTTGGCGATTTTGCGGGGGGGTCCGGTAACAGGCCTCGTTTGGGTTTTGTAGTTCGGTGGGTTTTCTAGTGTTTTGGGTGGTTATGTGGTTGGTTTAGTTGTTTGTGGTGTTACGGGCACGGCGGAGTGTCCTGGATGGGCACGGCGGAGTGTCCTGGAGGTCATTTGTTTGGCTGGCGGATGCGGCTGGGTGCTTTGTGTGTTGGGTGCTGTACGTTCTGTTTGGCGGTGAGTCGTTGCATCTTCACCGGATTCTCTCGGTGCTTTGGTTAGGTCGTTGCTGTGGTGGTGAAGTACATGATGTGTCGTGGTGAATTTTCCTGTTTCACATCATGTCTCATCCTACCGTGGCTGTCCTTCACCGCAATACTTTCGAGAATGAAGTCAAGGCTTGTTGAGGCAACRAGGGCTTGAGTTAGTGAAGCTATTTGGCTTTCGCGGTGCCGGGCCGTCTGGTTCCGTCTTTTGTCTGTCCGTCGTTTCCAATACTCAACGATTTACAGCACAACAGGAAACAGGAGTGTATTTAGTAGTAGATTTTTGATAACCCCAGAGCAGAACAAGCTCTCCATGTGGTGGGAATAGTGTAGTTGCTAGGAGTGATAATGAGATGAATACAGTACGCAAGTATGCCCTTTCTTTGCCAGGAGCAAAGTATGCTCCCTTGTTGAGGTGTTCTTTGTTTTTGTCTTACTGGTATCTGCCACTGCAACAGTGCTCTTTAAGAGCAATTCTACAGGATTTAGTTACTAAATATGGAGCAGCAATGCTGTGATTGGATGTCGGCATGCCCTGCCAGTGCGACCTGCCGGCGTGACCTGCCAGCACTGAAAAAGTGAATTTAATCAAGTAATTAATTCAAATTTTATTAAGTTTTAATTAATCAAATAATTAAATTTAATTATTGGTCATCTTGCATTAATAAAATTTATGGTCACGGTTCCCCAAAAACAGTAATTTGAATAACCCCCAAATCGAAGAACACTAGAACTTAATAAAGACTGTTATTTTGTATATGACTACGGTTAAAGATGCCCGGAATGCTCAAAAATATTAAAAAAATGGTCCTTTTGGTCCCTCTCCAGTAAAGATCTTTTTACTTTTCTGAACAGTGACCATCAACAATCAATGACAATGATTCTGACAATTTTTGTCCAGGCTAGCAGGATCCCGACTACAAAAAACTGGTAGTATGAAAAAAAGCTAGAATAATATTGAGCATTAAAGTACTACTAGTACTAGTACTAGTACTGTAGTACTTATGTGCAACCTTCTCAAACTTTTGAGATTCAACAAATTTTGACTTTGAGAAAACATTGAAAACATGATGGGAGTGATGACTTCAAGGAGAACAGCACGTGTGCAGCACACCAAACCTTCATGAGTGACAAAGTAAGCAGAAGTGAAGAATTTCACTGTTCAAAACAACGACAATATCAAAAGACTACCAGTATAAGCTAAATCACCATATTGAAATCTACTTTTCGAAAATGTACATGCAGACTATACATCTTGCAGATATTGATTACACTTCATGTTCTTCCAGCATTCCAAAAACAAGCCAATTTCTGATGGCTATTGTCGCAGGATTGTTGTTGCTATAGAAGAAGCAATTCACCATTCTCGAAGAGCCCGAAGGCGTCGTCGGCAACTCGGCTCACGTACCCGAAGGACCAATCGCCACAGCAGCGAACGAAAACTGTAGGTTCTTACCACGGACAGTTGACGACATTCTCTGGGCAAAAACTTGCAGAGAATCTTGTCGTCACCAACTCTTGAGATAAGCCCAAAAATATTTACAATGCATGGAACGAAGTAATGATCCATAGTAACGGAATAGAATAGTGCAAATTAATATATCACAGCTTCTGTGATTGCCTACCGCAATCATTTTCCATGTGCCACAGAGATGTTTTCGTTTAGGACACATACGTCATCTCATCAATAACAGGGCCAAGTTCTTCTAGAATGTCAGGGGCTGTCATGCTTCTCCGATGTTTTCCGAATGCCCTTTTCGTCGAACGCTTGACAAAGCAACATGCCGTCCAGCAAGCCAAGGAAAGATCGTCGGATGACGCCTTCTCGCGATCCGAAAGAATCTTGTTCCAGGCAACCAGAGTGCCACAACATCCGGCTAGAACATCTCCTATCCCTCCAGATCGCTTCAGTCCCCCTTTTTCTCTACATACCATTATTGGCGTCTCAGAAGTGGAAGACGCATGTCGAATGTAGTCCACCGCACCCTTCTCGATGATCCAGCATTGCTCTGGAAGGTCCTTAGTCGTGTACCCACTGTCCAAAAGGCGTTTCAGTTCCATAGCGTTGGGGGTGAGAATCACCGGAGAATCATTCGATAAGAGATTTTCACGATATTTTGGCAAGGTCAATAAAAAGAGACCGTCGGCATCAATGACTAACGGTAAATTATGCCGAGATTGCGCTTTGCGAATAATTCGTGCCGTTGCTTCCAGAACTAGGGGGCATCGACCGAGGCCGGGCCCCAACACCAAAACGTGAATTTTGTCCATCATGCTACATACTTCCTCCACCATGTTTTCGACAAGTTCCTCTATGTCTTCGTCAAAACCTTCACTCGGTATAAAATCGAATTCTTGTTGTTTCTGACGACGGGCGGCGTTGTCGAATTCATTTGCTTTGTACACGGGGGCAACCATAAGTTCTGGCGAATAGGACTTGAGGGGGATGGTCGCCTCCTCGGCACAGAAGCAAAACGCCAAATCGGCACCGCATTTTAAGGAGGCCATTGCCGCATAATAGGGTGCTCCCGTGTAGCGCGCAGATCCCCCCAATACCCCGATACGGCCCGAGCTTCCCTTATAGGAAGAGGCTGAGAGCGGGACGACACACCTTTCCAGCGCTTTTTGCCGGGCCGTCGTGTCTTCCGACCACGTTGTTCCGGCCGCATTATTTGCGTTGTTGGCAGCACTTCGCAACGACGAAGAAGTGGACAGAGGCGTCATTTTAACGGAAAATGGGGCAGCTGCTGGTATTCGATTGAGCCCAGAAAAACTCTCAACATGATCAGCAGTTAGGTTGAGGAATGCGAACAACTTCGTAAGCTTATTTACTGAAAAGTTCCCTCTGGCGAAACATTGACTGTTTTGCATAGACCTTGTGATCATGACGCGATCGTCAACCTCCTTCGTCTCAACACTTTTTGTGATATATCTGTGGAGGGGTGTTTAAAACGAGAACTGGAACTTTCAGCATGAAAATAATTTGAACTGGAACTTTTTTCGAAGGCTGTTCGTTGAGTATTGGAAACGACGGACAGACGAAAGACGGAACCATGCGAACCGGCACCGCGAAAGCCCGCAGCCCCACCAATACGCTGCCCTTACACCCCAAGAAGCCTTGACCTCATTCTTGAAAGTATTGCGGTGAAAGAATGCCACGATAGGATGAGACATGATGTGAGGAAGATTCACTCCGGCACATCAGACTCTACTCCACCTAAGCAAAAGCTCACCACAATACCAAGGGAATCCGGTGAAAATGCAACAAATCACCGCCAAACAGAACGTACAGCATCAAATATGGCACACAGGATGCTCCGCCGCATCCACCAGCACACCTAAGGCCAACAACACGTGCACGAGATTACGTGTACTCTTAGTATGTTTTAAGTGTGTATGAAAATTGAATTATAAGATTAGAATTATTCGAAGATTACCAAGCGCGTTCACGAGAATTCCGAAGTTCCGATTAGATCCTCATGTAGACCTGGTAGGGAATCTACACGGWGGTTCTCTATTCYGGACTCGTGACATCTCTATTCTTCGTGAGGTATTCTCGAATAGTATCTTAGACCTCTTACGATCATTAACATGATGGATTGTATGATCTATACATATAAACAGTACCTTACGATAGGTACGTAGGAATGGTATGCTCCTTCATTCCTTTCTTGTGAGCTTCGTATACTTCCTTTCCAATACGTACGTATCCTATCCAGTACGTACGTGCAGTACGTATCCATTGCATTGTCCCGGACAGTAATGTTGCTCAAATATATATTGCAATATTACTCACTACTAAACTGTAGCAATCATATCTTCGATATTTTCAACAGGGGGCTCTTCCTCTGCAGCTGGTTCTTCAGGAGTGGCACTTGCATTAGTTTCTTTGCAAGGAACAAGCTTCCTGATGTTGACAGGCTCACGTACGTTGTCACTTCTTTGCAACACCACAGTTCCGTTTGTGTTGATCTCCACAATGGGATAAGGACCATGTAATCTTTGGGACAGCTTGTCTGGTTCATAGAATTTCATAGGCCTGCTGTCCAACCTGATATTTGAAGGGTATTTGCCTAGCATTTTCTCTCCTAGTAAGGTTCTCATCGATTTGGTGTTGTCTTTTATCTCTGATAAGATTCAAATCAGCAATGAGAGGAATATCCATTACCATATCTCTATTGAAAACCAAAGCTCCTGGTGATGTTTTCACAGCAGCATTCACAGCACACCTGGTAGCATGCATAGCCGAGGCAAGTGCATTGTCAATCAGTTGATCTTCATCAAAGTCAGCTTCCTCAAGGGGCTTGCTGTGGAGGGTCGCTYGTAGAACATTAGCAATTGTCTGATGAACTCTCTCACAGACTGCATTTGCCTGTGGATTCTTAACAGTTGTCTGGACACTCTTAATTCCATATTGATTCAGCAACTGTTTAAATGGGGTCCCGATGAATTCTGAGCCATTATCATGTACACACTTGTTAGGTCGTGGGTATCTTGACAACCAACAGTTTGAAAACTGCTCTGCCACATGCTCACTTGATTTGTTGTTGATTCTGATGATTTCCAATAGGTTCGTGACTGGATCAATGCAGGTAAGTGCATTGATCACTAATTCTGTTTCCTCTGGAAGAAGGATTTTCCAGGGGCCAATCAAATCAACACATACTTCATCCCAAAGACAAGCTTCGCCTTGCRAGCTGGTAATAGTCCATGTCCCTGTCCTAGTTGTTTGAATTGATGGCACTCATCCGGACACTGATATAATTTTCAAAACGAATTTTTTCAAACGCAGCCGTGTTTCATCTTTGCACGAAGATACGATT